GCCCCCCGACCGCCCCGCTGGCCCCCGGCGCTCACTGCTCTGGCTGTGGTTGACGTTGGGCCGGGAGTTCCCGGTGAGCGCGAAGCTGGCGCCGGGGCCGTTGCCGTAAAGGATGGAGGTGTAGGTCTTGTTGTCTTGGGCTATGCTGGGGGCCAGCCCTGCGGGGAGGAGGGCCCTGCTGAGCACACCGACCACAGCGAGGGGGGCCCCCTGCGTGCCCAGCCCAGGTTGCCTACGCGCTGGCCAAATCCTCACAAGCACCCGACGAGGCAGGGGCTACTACCCCATTTGACAGGCAAGGACACTGAGACCCAGAGCCATTTATGCCATATAATTTGGGAAACAGCACCTGCTCCCGCAGATGGAGCTCCCTGCCTACCGAAAATGGAGCTCCCTCGCAGTGTGTAGCCACCAAAAGAGAAGACGTGAGAGTGGTCAGCGGTGACAAGGGTCAGGGTGTCATTCTCGCTTGTGATCTGGCTGGCCTTGTCGATGGCAGAATCGAACATGACGGCCTCGGTCAGTGCCAGATAAGCCGTGCCGTCGTGATGACCGTGGTCGATGCGGCCTCCTGCAAGCAGGATGCGTGGAAAGTGGACAATGCCCAAACACCCTGACCATTCCCACTCCTCTGCTGGGCAAGGGGCTGCCACTCACCCTCCACGAAGAGGTAGAAGCCACGGGGGTTCCTGCTCAGCACGCGCACGGCCACCTCTGTCATCTCCATCAGGGACGGGTCCTGGGCCTGGTTTCGGTGGAACTCGTATTTGGTGTCTCCTGGCTCAAAGAGGCCTGTGGGAAAGGGGGCCGGTGGTGACTGGCTGGGGAGTGGGGAGGATCCGTGGCCTGAACATCTGTGTATCTGCTTGGCTTTCTGAGGACCGGGAGGCCAGGGCAGGAAAGAGGGGGGTCTGGGCTCATTACCCATGAGGTGTGTTACAGAGGGGTCCTGGAATGCTTCCATGAGCGCCTTGCGATTCCACACATACCGGGCACCCTGGGAGGGGTGGAACAGAGCCTCAGTCCAGAGCCCTCTCATCCTTGTCCCTGCTGTACCCCTTGCACCTGCCAGCCCCCATCACCTGGTACTTGTCCTGCCACTCGTGCACCAAGTTCCGCCCATCCAACCTGACTCCGTTCTGTTTGGCGTCAGTTGGATACTCAGGGTCTGGAGTCCCCTTGGGGAACATGTACTTTCGGCCTCCGCCCAGGATCACCTGTAGCCAAAGGATTAGGCAGGTGGGCTTGGGGCTTGGCTGGCCCTTTGCTCTCTTCTCAGACAGCCTCCAGCTCCCCTGCCAGGTCTGTGGGTATGGTCTGGCCCCAGCTGTACCTTCTCCACCACCACCCCCCTTCCCCAGGCTCCTGGAGACCCTGCCAGCCCCCAGAGCTCAGGCTGTCAGCTGCCCGGGACTGTGGCCCCGGGCCGGCACCCCGCCCCCCTTGCCCTTCATGTCCCACATCAATGTCCATGTTGGAGATGAGCTGCTGGGCGATGTCCTGGCATCCCTCCTCCCGCGCCTTGGCAGGCATGTCGGCGTCCGAGTACCAGTTGCGGTTCACTACGTGTGCGTAGGAGCCTGCTGGCGAGGCATGCTGCACTCTCGTAGTGGTCACCACCCCCACCGACTTCCCTGCGGGTGGTAGAGGTCAGGGTGAGCCCCCGAGGTCTCTCATCCTGCCTCTGCCCGCAAAGCTGGCCCCAAGCCCACCTGCTTTCTTGGCCCGGTTCATCACGGAAGTGACCTCATTGCCACGCGTCGTGTTACACTGGTTCAAGCGGGCGGCTGCGCTCACGCCGATGGTCTGGTAGTTGGCCTTGACGCCGCACAGGTAGGCCGTGGCTGTGCCTGCGCTGTCTGGCACCTGTCTGTCCACGTTGTATGTCTGGGGACAGAGACATCCTCAGCTCCCCCCGTGACACCGTCAGGCGCCCAAGATCCCGACCCAGGCCCCGGGGCCCACCCTCACTGCCCTGGTGCCCCTGACTCAGGCTCCAACCCGCCTGGGGTCTCCCCTCCTGCCGCCCTCCCGAGCCCCACCCCACCCACCCCTCTGGTGGGGAGCACCCTGAGCCACCAGCCCTTACCTTGGACAGAGCCAGGTACGGAAAGTGGTCCATGGCCAGGGGTGTCTCAGGTCCCAGATGGTTATTAATTTGCCCCTTTAGGATCCGAGTGGCTGTCACTGTGGGCACCCCCATCCCTGAAGGAGCACACCTTGTCAGGCCTGAGTCCGCAAGGTCGGTCTGTGTCCACTGGCAGCCTTGGGTGCCAGGGCTGGGGGAGCCACAGGGCACGGCCAGGCCTTGCACACTCACCGTCCCCCAAGAAGAGAATGAGGTTCTTAGCAGCCGTCTGGATGGGCTGCAGCTTCTTCGCAGTGTCCAGGGCCTGGGCCGCCTGGCGGTTCCAGAAGGCTGGGTCCTCCTCCTCAGCTGGCCGAGTGGAGAGGGGAAGCCAGGTCAGTCTCGGGGGAGTGCCCCCTGTGTGGGGGGCAGCTGGGAGGTGCCTCGTTACCTGGGATGACGCCAAGGGCCAGCCACGGCCTCAGGCCCAGCAGCAGCAGCAGCACGCAGGGCCCCTGCATGCCTGTCGGAGGGCGGGGGGGGGGGGCGGCAAGGCCAGAACTCTGGGCAGGCTGGGGCCCCGGGGGCGCCAGAACGTGGGCACCAGCTGCCAGACGAGCCGCCGGGGCTTCGGTCCGGGCAGGACTTTGGCCCCGGGCTGTAAAAGGCTGGGGTCCCTCCCCTTGCCCCCGGTGGCCCCCTGGGCCCCGCCCCGCCCTGTGACTTGAAGTCCTGTGGGCAGAAGGGAAGTGGCAGGGTGTGGCCGAGCAAGCCCCAGGGCAGGGGGCCTGGAGAGGGCAGGTCTGTCCAGCACAGGATAATCCCAGCTGTCACCCCAAGGGAGCGCGGGGAATTGGAGGGGCACGTCCCCTTTGGGGAAGGAGCATTTGCCGTGTCCCCGTAGGGGCCAGTCCCAACCCTTTGCTCACAGCCTGGTGGGAGAACCGTTACTCCTACGTTCAGCTCGTTTTTTCAGTGCTGAAAGCCAGCTTTGGGCAGGCTCCGTCTGGGTGGGACACACGCAGCCTGGGCCAGGGGCGTGGGTCTGGCTTCCTGATGCTCCGAGGCCCCGAGAGAGGGGGAAAGGAGGCATGTGGTGCCTGGTCCTTCTGACCGGGCTTGGTGTGGGCAGGTGGGGAAGGGGTTGGGCTCAGAGCGCGCCTAGGAGCCTGGACCCAGACTTCTTGTGCTGTGGAAAAGGGTGGGACTGGTGGTGACAGAGCGGAACCTCGTCTGTGTGTTTGAATACTGAGAGCCGGGCCGGCCTCGTGGGGTAGGTGTGCGCGTGCGTGCGCGTGTGTGCGTGCATGTGGGGCAGAGAGGGGTGGGACCCAGTGTACATGAGCTTGATCTCTGCTCCCTTGGACACGCAGATGGAACCCAGGGTGAGTCTTTTCTCTCCAGGGGCCATGCATACCCGCAGGTGCAACGTCTGTTGGGGGCTAAGAGGTTTCAGTAGCCAGGCTGGTTCACAAGCCTTCCTCCAATCCAGCCATCGCACTTTCTGGGTGTCTATCCAAAAGAATTCAAAGCAAGGTCTAGAAGAGATATTTGCACCCTCATGTTGATAGCAGCACTGTTCACAGTAGCCAAAAGGGCCAAGCAACTCAAGTGTCCATCACCAGGTGAATCTATAAACAAGATGCCGTCCATCCACGTAATGGAATATTATTCAGCCTTAAAAAGGGAGAGCATCCTGTCACACGGTACACCACGGATGAACCCTGAGGACATGATGCTAAGTGGCAGAAGCACAAACGCTGGGTGACTTTACTTAGACTAGGCATCTGAAGTTGTCAAATGCACAGAACTGGTTGCCAGGGGCCAGGAAGAGGGGGCCCTGGGTGGGGGTTGTTTGGTGAAACAGAGTTTCAGTTTGAAGATGGAAACGTTCTGGAGAGCTGCTGTGCAATGGTGTGAATACACTTACCTCTACGGAACCAGACAAATGGTTATGATGGTAACTTTTATGTGGTGCTTTTCACCACGATTTTTAAAATATTCCAAGAAGAAAAACCTTCCTCCCGGCTCCGCCCACCCCAGCGGACCATGTAGCTCCATTCTGCGCTCTGGCCTCCTCACCACCTGAGCCGTGTATTTGGTCCCCAAAACCAGGGCGACTGTCCTGGCCACCAGTGTCTCCCTGCCCAGCCCCCCTCTGCTCAAGCAGCTCGCCAAGCACACTGACCTGGCTGTCCTCTAAATCTGGGGAGAGGTATCACCTTGGGAGGCATCCTTCCTGGCCCCTGAATTGTCCCCCATAGCTCCTTCTGTCCCCTGTATTGTCTTGCTGTGTTAGGGAAATTCTTGGCTAAAGGTCGGGGGAGACTAACTTCTGGGCACGTCCTTAATTAATTAATTGGTTTTATCAGGCTGTAGGTGAAGGGTTTGTTACTCCAAGATTAGTCTTCTTTCCAGTAAATTCCCCGTACCCTTTCTCAATTGGATTATTATTATTTTTTTAGAGAGGGAGGGAGAGAGAGCAAGCAAGAGAGCTTCTTGTGCAAGTGGAGGGGGAGGGGCAGAGGGAGAGAGAGAATCTTAAGCAGGCTCCACCCCCAGTGCAGAGCCCAGCGGAGGGCTCCATCTCAGACTCTGAGATCATGACTTGAGCCAAAACTAAGAGTCAGACGCTTAACCGGCTAAGCCACCCAGGCGCTCCCCACCATACCTTTTTTCAATTGGAATTTTTGACATAACTTATAGACTCACATGCAGTTGAAGAAATAATACAGAGATCCCCTGTATGCTGCCCAATTTCCCCCAATGGTGCAATCCACAGATTTTCAGATTTCGATTCGGATTCCTCCCCGCCTTCACATGTACTTCATTTGCGTGGGTGTGTAAGTTCTACACTATCTTGTCACGTGTGTGGGTTCATAAACACCACTGTGGTTGAGATACGGAACAGCTCCAACCCCACGGATAGGAACAGATGGCTTTATAACCGCCTCACCTCCCCCCCACACCCCTGCTCAGTCCCTAGCCCCTCTCCTGCATTTCTAAAATGTTGTCATTTCAAATAAGTTACATAAATGGAATCCTGCAATCTTTTGGGGTTGGTTTTTTTTCATCCAAACATGGATCATCCAAACGTGGATCAATCGTTGATTGATTGTGGTGAAAAGCACCACATTCATCCAAACATGGATCAATCGTTGACTCCTTTGTATTACTGAGTGTCTTTCTGTGGGATGGTAGACCACAGTGTTTGACTAGTCCCATGTCCAAGTGCAGACATCTAGGTTGATTCCAGTTGGGGCGATTATGAATAAGGCTGCCGTGAATATTCATTCAGGTTTTTTGCGGGGGGTGGGGAACATGCATTTTCATTTCTCTGTAATAAATGCCAGGAGTGCAGCTGCTAGTGCTTCTTACGGTGACATGTAGTCATCAGTTGTGATCGGCCTTGGTTTCTTGTGAATTTTGTCGTGTGCCTGAGCGGGACTGGAGATCGAACATACATGACTTGTCACTGGCGGTAAACAAAGTCTGTCTGTCCACATTCGCAGCCTGCAGCCCTGACGCGGCTGCATGGGGCCACGGGGGCACTGTGCCCTGAGTCAGGCAGGCACCTTTGGGCCTGAGTCACCTGTGATGTATCTGGTTATAGTCCTTCCTCTGGGGCCCGGGATTCCAAGGCAGCGGGCAGCAAGCTCTTCCTGGTGTGGAGTAAGAGGTCATGCCTCTGGGGTTACTGTAGCCCAGGCCAGGGGCTGCCTGGCTCTGTGCAGCCTGCAGTCTGCTTGTCCTGGTCTGCCTGCTCCCTGGGAAGGAAGGGCTTGTCCTGTAGGGCCCCATCTGGAGCCCCAGCACCCTCCACCGTTGTCCTCGTTTACCCCCGAAGGCTGTCCGGGCCGGGTCCCAGCCCCCAGCACAGGGTGCGTGTCGGCTCGGCCAGGGGCAGGGTGATGCGGAGCCCACCCCTGTAGCAGCTGCCACCCACCGACCCACGGAGGGATGGCCCCTTGCGCCTCCTGCCCTCCTGATCTCACGATGACACTCCCCGCCCCCCCTTGGGAAACGCTGTGACAGCCCTGCTGGGGGGGCAGGGGGAGGATGGCAGGAGCTGGGAACAACCCTGAGATCAGACGTGAGCCCAAAACAAGAGTCGGATGCTCAGCCAGTTACACCCCCCGGAGCCCCCCCTCCCTGCACTTCTGATGATATGTGTCCTCTCTCCAGCCAGGCAGTTCTGGGGCCAGGACAGGAGGCCCCCCACCTGCCTCTCCTCCTGGCCCAAGCAGGGGGCCATCAAGAAAGTCCCGGGGACTGCGCTCCTCAGCTCCTCACGGAAGTTAGCTGCATCGTGGCCTGGGGACCGGATGGAGCCCTCAGCGGAGAGCAACAGGCAAGGCCAGGGTCACGGGCTCAATGACAGAGATCTTAGAGGTCACCGGAAAAGCACTGGCTGCAGGGGAGGGAGGATCCTCTTGCCTCTATTTGCAGCTATGGTTTGGGCGTGTCCGTGTCCGTGGTGCCCGACGCAGTCCCAGAGACTGAGGCTCTGCCCTTCCCCCGGAGCCCATGGGCACTGACTGGAGAACAGCCCCAGGGAGGGGGGGGGTGTCCTTTGGAAGGAACCAGAGACAGCACAGACCTCGGGGGCATCCACGGGGCCATGGGGGGGAAAAGTTTGCCGAGATACATTCTGGGGCCCAGCAGAGGTGAGTGCATCTAAGGCCAGAGCTCAAGTGCATACTGGGGTACACCCGGGAACCCCAGGGGTTACACTGTACCAAGTCACTTGGGAATTCCCTCACGCTGGGAATTTGGACCTGCACAAGGGTCAGCACCAGCTCTGTGGGGTCAGAGAGAGGTTGTAAAGCCCAAAGGAAGACCCCAGAAGGCAATCTAATAGCGGAAGCCCATTACACCAGCCTTGGAAACTGAGGTTTGGGAGGAGGTATGGAGGCCTCCGATGCTCACAGGGCCCTTGCAGCTGCCCTCACCGAGCTGACCCTCAGCGAGGGTCCTGGAGGCAAAAACCAGAAGCTGGGCAGCTACTAGTTGGTTAGAGGAGACGATTTGATTCAGTGAAAATCTCTTGAGCACCGACCATATGTAAATCATCCTGGAGGCCTAGCAGAGTCAAATCAGACCCAACGGGCGAGGGGCTTCCTGTCTAGAAACGGGGGTGGGGTACGTAAACCGAATTATGTTCCTGGACACTGTCCCAGGGGAAGAATTGAGGTGACCAGAGTCAGACCCCCTTGGAGAGGGGCAGGAAATAATGCCGGGGCGGGCAGGACAGAAGCCTGGATGTATGGCCCACCGACAGCTCGCAAGACTGGGGCCGGGCTGTGCTTCGGGGGGGCTGGAGGGGGGCACGAAGGGGAGGTGCTGGTGGAGGGGGTGGTGTTGGGGGAGCGGGGAGCACAGGCGGGGGCAGGTGAGGAGTCACTGACAGAGGAAAGATGGCGAACACGGTGGAGGAGGGGCTCTGGGACATTGTGTGACTTTCTGTCCTTTGGCCCGCGGGATCCGCCCTCTCCTTGGTGCCCGCCCTCCCTGTTGGCTCCCTCCCTGCAAGGACCCTCACAACAGCCACACCCCAAATCCCTCTTCTGTGGCTGCCAATTGTCTGCCAGCCACTCTCCAGTCTGCCTCCCCTGGCCCTGGCTTCTCCTCCTACTGGACAGTTTCTTCACGGAGGATGATAACAAAAAGGTGTTCAACGGATGCAGAATTAACCACATGACAGACCCCCAGGTTGGCAAAGACCAAAAAGCCCACCCATAGCATGTTGGGGCCTGGGCTCAGTCTCCACCACTTATAATGGGTGTCCTTCGGTACTTAACCTCTCCCAAGCCTTGATTTCCTCATCTGTGAAATGGGAAGAAGGACAGTAGCAATGTCACAGGGCTGTGAGCGCAGGGCCGTGGGACAGACGCAGTTCTGGAGGGGGAGGGGGAAAGGCGAAACCCTAACTTCTGAAAAAAGGCAGGTCTTGAACATAATGAAAGCTAGCTGAAAAAAATAATAATAAAAAAATAAAAGCTGAGTGTTTGAAAGCCAGTCGGCCAAGTGTTAGACAAAGTGGTTTATTCCTAGAAAGCAAGTATTTGTAATTAAGGTCTGTGTGGGCAAGGCTTCCTCCTGGGCCATTCCACCCACCCGTGTGGGAGGGACATCCAGGCACTGCCCTTCCACAGGGGAACTTGGGTCACATATCTCCGGGGAGTGCAGAAGAGGGGACCGTCCACCAGCAGGGCTGGAAACACCACCATCCCCCTTCCTCATACAGTTCCCGGGGGCTCAGCCTGCCCCAGGCTGGGGGTGCAGCGGCAGCCGTGGCTCAAGGTCGTTCTCCTTAGGGGGATGCAGCATGACACCTCCACGGCCGACGGGGCGTTTGGCCGTGCATGTAGAAGGCGAGGGAACGAAAGCTTGCTCCTGGGACTGCATTCAGTACCTTAACTCTGATTTTTCTATCCCAAGAACCAGGAGGGCAGTCTTATTCCAACAGCAGCTTGGTTTGAAAATCTACGACGGTGAAATCTCCTCGAGGAGACATTCTGCTTCTGTCTTGCGCTTCCCTATCTGTTGCTTCTTCGGTATTTGGCTCAACGCTTTCCAGAACTGAGCAATGAACAATTTATGAACATTAAAGAACATAACACAATTCACGAAAGTGTTTGAGTATAACAACTTTAGTAAAATAAATTACTAAAATGGGACTCCACCCCCCAAAATTGCTTTCTATATATTAAAAAAAAGACAAACCACCAAACCATAAAGACTCATAAAAAGAGAAGGTTCAAAGAGATGATCTTGCAGAAGGCTTTAAGTATGTAACCTGACTCAGTTATGTGCAAATTCAAACTCATCATTCCAAGTACTTCATGTACCCTCCCCCCATCTCCAGAATCTTCTTTACTGTTGTGGAAGGCATCTTTCTCCTTCCATTCACCAGGACTCACGTCTTTCATCTACTTCAATACCCCTCTCACCTTCAACTGACCCTGAAATCTGTGATTGGGCCCATGAACTGGGCCTCTGTTGTCAGAGTCCAGCTGGGGCCTGAAGTTCAGCCCTCCTGCAGACTTGCATTACATTGGGGAGGCCCACAGCCTCACCTGTGGTTCTGCCCAACACCATCGCACCCCTCCCCCCGACTTCCTGGCTGGTTAGCTGCCCAGGGCCTAGTCCCTTGCCCTGGACTCCCTACCTTGGCTCAGACAGGGAGCCACCACAGCCCCCAGGGGCGTCCCCGCCCAGACTGCCACCTGAGTCTTTAAGTAGAAGGCCTTAGGCAGCATTTGAACTCACTGGGAGTATCAGGCCACCTGTCAGCAGGAATTTTATCTTACTGGAATGATGGACTGTTTAATATCCCTTTTAAAAGCCTTTTAAAAGAACTGTAGATCCATTCCTGCTAAGAAAAAAATATTTTTTTTTTGGCGGGGGGGGGAGGTTGTTTGGGTTTTTATTCTTATCCAAGTTATACATGAATATAGTTTAAATTACCAAATTGCTCTGTGAGGTTTGTTCCGACAGAACAAAAACAGCAGTTCCCTGTCTCCCTCCCTGCCTTTTCCCATCTCTGAGGCAACCACTTTCCTCTCTTTTGGCTTTCTATGTTGATATTTACCACTGTTTCTAAATCACTTCTTCATTTTTCAATCGTAAGCTCTATCTATTGACACATTCTACTGATCTTCTCTTCTCGGTATCTATAATGGTTTGTATAACGAACCAGCCCCAAACCACCTCACACATTTCTTGGATCACAAATCTGCAATCTGGGCAGGGCCTGGAGGGGACAGTGTGTGTCTGATCTATGGGGCTTCGGCGGGGGTGGCTGGATGGGACCTGGGGGGTCCGCTTCCAAGATGGCTCCGTCACCTGGCTGAGGAACTGGCTCCTTTCCACAAGGGCTTCTCCACAGAGTTGCTTGAGCATCCTCACAACATGGCAGCTGGATTCCAAGAGACAGGGAGTAGAGGCTGCCCGTTCCTTAAGGCCAGGGCCTCGAAACTGGCCCCAAGTCACTTCTGCCACATTTCTGCATATTAGCAGCCATCGAGCCTGTCCAGATTTAAGGGGGAGGCACACAGACTCCGTTTGTCTTTATTTGTTTATTTAGCAGCTTCACTGAGGTATAATTGACAAATAGGAATTGTATATATCCAAGATGTACAACTAGATGTTTTGATATATGGATACATTGTGCAACAATCACCACCAGCAAGCTACTTAACATATCTATCGCCTGAGAGCGATCATTTGCTTTCTGTGGTGAGCACACTGCAGATAGACCCGCCTAGCGGCTTTCAAGTCCACAACACAGAATTGTTAACTACACCACCATGCTGTACATGAGATCCCCCGAACTCGTTTATCTTACAACTGAAACTTTGTCCCCAACATCTCCCCATTCTTCCTCCCTGCCCTGGCCCTGGAAAGCAGCATTCTCCTCTGCTTTTATGCGTTTGATTCTTTTAGACTCCACACATAAGTGAGAACATGCGGTGTCTGGGCTGCAGTGGGCATCTGGTGCTGTGTCTCCCCGGTGGCCTAGCCTCTTCCTGGCACCTGCTCCCCAGCTTCTTGCCCATCCCTCCCAGCTGCCAGGGACCCCAGGAGCTACCATTCTGTTCCATGACAGCTCTCTGATGGGCCAGGGCTGGGCAGCTGCCCCATTCTTTCCTGGGGTCTTCTCTAACTAGAGCTGGGAAAGGGTGTCAGTCTCTCTCCAGGAGGGTGGGCTGCAAGATACAGAAGGCAGACGCTTCCAGAAGGTCACCACGGAGGAAGTGATCTACACCAGGAGGAAATGAAGCAGAAACAGAGAAGGGGCACAGGCTCTCCACCCCCGCCCTGCCAGGTGATCTGGAGGCGTGGTGCCTCCCTGCCTCCCCCAAGGTGGGCTTTCCCGCCCTCCTCTGGTAGTTCTGTCCAGCCTTCCTATCAGTTCCCTTCCTCCCAGAGCCACTTCGCACTGGGTTTCTGTCCTATGTAATCAAGACAGGAGTCCTCCTGAAGCCTCAGGACCCCTCTCTCTCTGGCTCCTCCTTCCCAGCCTCCTTGTACTAGCTCCTTCTCATCTTCCTGAGCCGATCTTCAGTCCTGAGCCTTCCCAGGCTTTTAATCCACTGAGGACACCTCGCCCGAGCACCGCTCTCCCCTGCACCTCCGGGCCCAGCCTGGCATCCCCCATCCCCCAACTGCCTACCACCCCCTGCTGCTGCTGCGCCCCACACGCTCCACTCCTGGTCCCTGCCTCTGTACCGAGCCCCCGGGTCTGTTCTCAGCGCGAAGCCTGGGGATGCTGGCTTGCACCCCTTATCTGTCCCCCCACCCCAACGGCGAGGAAAGCCCTCGCCGCCCCAGCTCGCTGGCGCTCCTGGCCCACCCGCACCCGCGCTCTGGCCTCCCGCCCCCTCCACTGCCCAGACAGCGCTGGGCCTCAGGGCCCGGGCCTGCAAATGGCCACCAGGCTGCTCCCTGAGGCTCTGCCCCCATGGGACCCCCCCTGTCCGGCTTCCCCTTCACGCCATCACCACCGCCTGCTGTGCTAGTGACCCCACTCCCCCGCTGGACAGCAGCCCCGAGAACACGGGGCATCGCAGCCCTCCTGCTGAGTAAAGCGGTGAAGGCACGGGGGCGTATCACGGCCCAGCCCTGCACGGCCCTCGCATAGAGCGCAAACTCTCAGGCCAGCTCAGAGGGTCCATGTGATCTCCCTTTCCAGCATCTTCTTGCGCGTCCTCTCAGCACTCTCTGATCCTAGCGACCTTGACCCTCACAGCTCGGCGTTAGACAAGTACCTTCGAGCCTCAGTTCCTTCACCCCCGTGGGGCCCACGCATCATCTTCTGGCCCCTGTCCCTTCGGAGCTGGGAATGCCCTCTCCAGCCTCGGAACTTTGCTAGAGCCTCGTCTCGTAGTGACGTTATTTGCATCTCCGGCTCCCTCCGCCATGGTGATCCGAGGGGGCCCCTTGAGGAAGACAGAGCCTCGCTCTGGGTCCTGGGCTTCTGCCAGTACTTGCATACCGACGCTCTGGAGCAGCCGCAGGGATGAGTCTTCCTTTTTGATGAGGTTTTGTGTCTCGTCGCCCCTTTGTCAATACTTCCATCACACGGGGACACAGAAGGGGCTGGCTCCCTCAGTGGACCTCCGCCAGAGCCCCGCGTGCTGGGAGAGGGGACGAAGATGGACCCTGCTACCTTGGGGGAGAGTGCTGGGCCGCCTCCTTTGGGCAGTGGGGTGCAGTGGAGGGCAGGTGCCTGAGCCCGGTCCTGGCTGGGCAGTCTTGCTGTGTCACCTTGGCCAGAGGCCTGGCTCCTTTCTGGGTGCAGTTTCCACTTCTGTCAGATGAAGCGGGGCTGGGCTGGGGTGGCCACGGCCCCCGTGGTTCTAGGGTGCATCAGGGCGAGACCCACCTCTGCCCAAGCAAGTCCTGGCGGCAAAGATGTTCCTTGCTGACCGAGCCGGCTACGCCTCACTGGGGCTCAGGGGGCACCGGGGCGAGTAAGGACTGGGGTCCGGTCCGAGTTCATGCTGCTCAAGAGAGGGCCCAGGGGCTCCGACCCACTGCCTCTCTGATGGGTGTCACGCCACGGGGGCTCGGCTCCTGGGCTCTGTGGGCGGCCAGCAGGGGACAGCCCCGGGGCAGAACGGGGCTCCTCCTCAGAGGGTGGGGCAGTCCAGGGGATGGAGACAGGGTTGAGATCGTCCTGCCCTTGGGCTCTGTCGGGCTGCCTAGGACAGGAAACACCCAGAAATCTTCTCCTCATCCAAATACCAAACCACCAGCCCCTCGCACCTATCTTCCCTTCAGATCCTTGGTTGCAGAAGGCTCTGGGGACAGGGACAGATGGGGGGGTGGTGGCCTCAGGGACATCTTGGGGGTGGCGAGATGGACACCTGGAAGGCCGGCTGAGGTGCTGGAGCAGGAGAAAGGAAGGCAGGACTGTGGCGTGTTCCCCATTCCTCTCTGACACCCGGCCCGGGGCTGGGCGGATGATGAGCCACGGCCTGCCCGTGGGGGACAAAGGCAGCCACGCCATCGGTCCTCTGGTCCCCGCGAGGCCCTCCTACAAGGTACTGCACTGAATTTTTCTTTGAAGAGAATTCACTGCAACCAGATCAAATGGGCTCGTTAATGCCGACACCCAAGGAAACGCACGGTGGAACCAGGGCAGGGGTCACTATGGTTTTCACCCTTGTTTCTGGCAGCCCTTGGGGAAGCCAACTTGTGGTTCCCTAGTCGGGCAGGGAGGGAGTGCAGGCTGTGGTCAGGCCAGCTGGGGAGAGGGCACGGCCCAGTGGCCCTCCATCTCGGTCCCTGGGTCCCCAGGGATGGTGCAATTGGTGGGTGCTCAGGACGATGCCAGGAAGGTGACGAGGCCAGGTTAGGGCCACCAGGCACCCCTTTTCCCCTCCCTGGTCATCTCTGGCAGGCGCAGGTCCCCTCTGTCCCCCTGCTCCCTCAGCGCCACCAGGGTACAGGATTGGCACCGGAGGGCTGAGGTACCGGCTTGTACCGAGGGGTGTGGACAGGGCTACTCAGAGCTCTGGCCTAGAACCTGAGGGAGGGAGTGCCACAGGACTCGTGCCGTCCCTCCTGAGGCCAGCAGGCAGAGAGGAGGTGGTGGGGGTGGGGAGGGACAGTCACTTGGTGCAGGGTGATGGGTAAGCCTGCTGTCTTGCATACTAATTACATTTCTAATCAGCCAGAATGAGGCACGGGCATCAATCTGACATGTGGCCAGCTCTGTGAATCATCCTGGGACTGACAGGAAGGTTCTGGAGGGTGGCGAGCCCAGCTCAGCTGAGAGGGGTGGAGCCTGAGCCAGGTCCCTTGTCCTGGGTCCAAGGGGCACCCTGCTGCCCAGGCCTCCCAGCGGTGCGTCACACACCAGACAGTAATTCACACTTGATTTTATTCCATGACACTGATTTGCTGAAAGTCCCCGGTTTCCTGGGCAGGGGAAGGCAGTGGGTGGCCTGGCAGAAGGGGGGCTGGCCTTCCCAGGAGGACCGGGTCCCATTCCGCTCCAGTGAAGCACCAGCCAGGCCTCAGCCTTCCGTCCAGCCCCGCCCTCTCCTCTCCAGTTTGTTTAAAAACTGAGCTGCAAAAATAAAATAGAATGAGGAAATAAAAACAAAACCCTGAGTTGTTAAAAACCAAATTAAAAATCCCCTTTGGTGTCGAAAGGTCCCATTCCTAAAAGCCGGTGGGTGGGGCAGGGGTGTGGGCGGGGTGCGGCTGCGCGGGAGGCCTCAGGCCTGTGGGCCACCGGTGTCTCGCTCCTCCTTGTCCTGCAGGCCCAGGAGGCCCTCGGTGCCCGGCCGCTTGAGGATGGCGCTGTACTTGAGGGCGGTGGTCTCGGCCTGCAGTACCACCTCCACCAGGCTGAAGATGGTGACAACCTGCAGCAGAGCAGAGCCCAGCTTGGTGACACGAGTGGGTCGTGGGGGGCCGGTCTGGGGGGCGGGAGGGGAAAGAACTTGCGGGCGGGGCCCAGCCCTGCCACTGTCCACCTAGCTGGGCCCCAGGACCACTTGCCCTCTCCTGCAGGCCTCTGTAAGCTGAGCCTGCTTGGATACTGAGGCCCCAGGGCCCCGGTGAGAAGTCAGGGAGCCGGACACGGCTGTGTGCGTTGCCTGGTGCACAGTGAGTGCCCAGGGTTGGGGGAAAAAGGAACTGGGGTCTGGGGCTGGCCTTCAGAGCGCGCTGTAGGTGAAAACCATTATATGCAAGTTCCTGGGTAGGAGATCCATAGTTTGCATGAGATTACCCAAAAGACCCCAACGGTTAAAACCCTGCTTTAGAGAGACAGGCAGAGCCCCCTGCCTCTCCCCACTGGGGGTGGGGGGCAGGGCAGGGCAGGCAGTACGGGAAAGCTCTGGCCCAAAGGAGGGCATATGCGGGAGCTGCGCGGGGTCTCTGCATATAGAGTCTGAAATCCCATGGGGGGAGCCTAAGTGCCGGGGTGCGGGGAGGGGCAGCAGGGCCAGCAGGGGAGGCCTGGCAAGTGTGCCCCAGGAGGCAGGAGGAGGGCTCACGAAGAGCAAGGGGGCAGATGGGCACACAGTGGTATTCTGGAGAAGCTGCCCCACTCCTGGGGTCTGACCTGCTGCACTTGCTCCTGTCCTGCGTCCTCAGGCTCCCAGACAAGCGTGAGCTCAGGCTTCTTGCCCACCTTCTGGAAGTGGTGGGACCGCAGGGGCAGAGCCTGGGGGCACACACATCTACGTCTCAAGTTGTAAGCTCCTAACCTTTGACCCTGCAAACCGCGCCCCCCCCCCACCCC